TTATAAGCAAGGTTTGAATTTATTCCAAGAACAAAAAAAAATTACTCTGCATCGTTGTGCAAAATATCGTAACAGTGTTTATTTAGAGTGCATCCATCAGAGCTTGATTCGACGTTGTTGACAATGTTTGCGATTTCAAACGCCGGGCGCAGACTGTCGAGGGGAACAGGTGCCGAATGAGTGAAAACAAAGTTTTATGATGACTGTATTACATACATGTATTGCCATTGGCACGTCACGTGAAGTTATTGGCTATGTGAGACAATCTCTGCTGCTGCCTGCAGGGGCACATAACTTCAGTTCATCCAGTATCAATGGTCTGATTCGTAGACCGGAATGTATAGTTTAATATGCAAACACGGTTTCTCTGAAACGTTATCATTCAAAACCTTCATGTATTAACCCTTGCCTAAACATAGTTTGGTACGATTCTTGATTCGTGTGGAATCTAAGGTACAGGCGCAGTGGTAGGGTTGTTTGTAGCAAGTAAACATGATAAAGTGCGGATAAAATTTACCTTGTCTGCATATGTATTTACCGTTTAATTACAGGAAAGCTTTATATACTCCCATGTATTTCGAGAGATGCTATATAAACCATTTTTCTGAACAATCTTTTGATTTTCATTGTTTACACCCGCTTGGCTTCGCCTTCAAGAAGAAATAATTACAACAAGTGGTGTGCAATTACACGGGTATTTAGTACAAGGTCAGTTTATGACTCTTTTCTTTTTGTGTTCACTTCCTTTGCAGTTGTAGACTAGCTACTATTTTCAAGTTTGCGTCGATTNTGCAATTACACGGGTATTTAGTACAAGGTCAGTTTATGACTCTTTTCTTTTTGTGTTCACTTCCTTTGCAGTTGTAGACTAGCTACTATTTTCAAGTTTGCGTCGATTTGAAGTGACTTTGTACATGGCTAGTATCAGGCTCAGTATCATTATGGCACTTTCAAAATATATCTAGAAATTGGATAAGAAATGGCGTTCTTTAATGTCGCTGAAACGATTACTTCGACGAACATTGGTCTGTTTACTAATAAGTGAATGACGTCATCACAACTTTGTTTTAAGTGTTTCTAGAGGTACTTGACATTTGGAGTCATAACTCAACATGAAAGATTGCTTGTCACGGAATAAGTGGAACGTTAACAAAATCAGTGAATTCTGCATGAATCTTTAGCTTGAAATCAAAGAATCAGATCTATCTTAATTCGTAATGCTACAATACCGTTCATAATTATCAGCATTACGCAATTTCGTTATGACGACTGACAAACTCTGGGACCTGTCAATTAAAATACTGATGCTTGAGTGTATTCCAGCGATTCGGTTCTTAATAAATCATCCGAATTATCGTGACGCCGTTTTCTTTATAATAGGGTCTGATAAATATAATTGGAACGTAACTCACTAGCAAATGGTCAAGGACTGAAAAATGCTATCTTATTAAATTGCTTTGGTATTCTATCTGAATTCTTAAAGCTCTCAAAATGTCGGATCTTCTCTATTTTGCCGACTTATCACAATTGAGTTGTTTTTTTGGTTTCGAGTTGCACAGACAAACCGGATAAACAAATGGCTTAAATTTTATCAGCAGAGTTTTGAATTGGAATAAAACGCTGCAATTTTTGTGATGGTTTGTCCATGCGATTTTGTACAACGCTAAATATTGCAATTGGCGAAGTGCCAAAGATGAGCGGCAAAGCCGAAAATTAATGCGTTCTGAATAAAAGCAAAGTAGATTACAATAACAAAGAAGTCTACTTCATTGCAGAAGTACCCACCAGTTGCAAACCGTTCATCGTGCTCTTCGGGTTCCTTTTTCTGTTTTTCCTGGTGTTGTGTGTTCTCCTGAACCTTCATCAGTCTCGTGCAACGAATATTGTAGAGAATTGCAAAGAATAAGAGCGTTACCGCTGTCAACAACAATGGAACAAATGTTGGCCTCATGTAGCTGTACATGTTAATGAAATCCATTCTCCGCCCGCTCTGTTCAGAGTTTGCTTTTTATTGCTTGTAGCTTCAGCAGGGTTTATATTATATATCTGAATTACCGGCTGAGTACACGAAGTGTTAGTATGTCTCCACAGGAAAAAGCTGCCAGTTGCCCGCTCGCCAGTTCAGGGATCGATTAACTCAAGTGCGGCTTATTTGATTCAAGTGTTTCAGTGAACTGTCCTTTGTTTTGTAACTAGGAAGTGAAAACAAGGTCAATAGCGTGCAGTCAATAGAATGTGGCATCAAGATATATCACCGTCACCGAAACTTCTAGCTGTTTCTTTTCGCAGGAAATTACGGTTCGGTTCAGACTAAATCCAAATGATAAAGGTATCTTTAAGCGGCGATTGCGGCGATTAATAATGGTAATTGAACTGAGTGGAGTGCAATTTGGTCTGAAATCATACGCGTGATTTCAAAATC